TTTTTTCCCTTGAAGTAACTTGAATGGGTTTCCCTTCCCTCTATCCAGGTTGGCCAGATGCAGGGCTATTCTATGTGCAAGTTATTTACAACCAAATTAGGGAGAAAGGACTTCCATGAAATAAAAAATAAATAGTCTAAGAAGGGATGTTATTAATTAAATGACATGCTTGCTATGGTTAACAAAGACCTGTGGAAGATCAAGACATAGGAACAGGAGGCCTGCTGCGCAGACTTCCCATTGAGGAAACGATTTGAAGTGAGTGTTCACACAAGGCTTCTTAAACTTTAAGGTGCACACAAGTCACCTGGGAATCTTGCTCAATGCAACTTCTAAATCGGTAGGGCTGGAGATGCATTTCTGACAAGCTCACAGGTAATGCTGGATGATGCTGGCCTGCAGGTCAGTCCGGGTACCCAGGTTCAAAGGTTCCAAGTTACTGCCATCTATTTCAGTAGTCAGGAGGGCGTTGAAGGTAACCAACTGAAAAAATGGTGAAAGTGAGTGTGGCTTATTTGAGAGTTCTTAAGGAAATTGGCCAGGAGCAGAGGGAAACTTGAAAGGAATATGATGTAAATTTGGATGATTACAGAGCATTTTAAATGCCAAGATGAGTCATTTGGATATTGAATTGAATATTTGAAAAGCATCTTAGAGTTCATCTCATCCAATTTCTCATTCAAGCATGATGCCCGTGTATATCTCTAACTGGGCCAGTTAGGAGCCACATCATTATAGGGGAGTGGCATCTCCAAAGAAGAATCTTAGGAAGATAAGCCTGGAAGTGTGTTGGATGGTCTGGAAGGAATGACGCTGCAGATAGACTCTACTGGGTTTTTGTAGTTGTTGTTGTGTTTTTAAAGGTCTAAAAATGACAAAGGCCAGTGTTAGTATTGGAGTGGGAAGACAGAAACTAGAGCTATTTCTCAGTAAATCATGAACTCATCCGACAGCTATCTGTTGAAGTCCTATCAGCACTGTTCTAGATACTCCAGGTACATCACTGAACAGATAAATAGAAAAGACCCTGCCCTGGAGGTGCTCATGTTTTAGTGAGGCAAGAGACAAAGCAAACACAAGATTAGCAAATCATAGAATGTATGTGGTAAATGCTATGGGGAAAATGGGAGAAGGTAAGATGTGTAAGGTTCATGGATGAATTTTAATTTTAAATAGGTTGGATAGGCTAGCCTTCATTGAAAAGTTGATGTAGAGGAGGTGAAGGGGTTAGCCTGGTGGGAATCTGGGGAAGTATCTTCCAGGTAGAGGCCCCAAGGAAGGAGAGACTCGAGTATTAAAGGAACAGGGAGAGGGAGAATGGTAGGAAATGAGGTCACAAGGCTCACATCGTAGGACATAGTGATGTAGTAAATATATTGCATGAGATAGATTAAATAAAAGGAAATTCTCAAGCAATAATTTCAAATTTTAATGTTACAAGATCCCGGGTATCTCACTAAAACTGCAATTTCCTGGGCTGGCTCATAAAGATTCTGTTCAGTAGGTCTGCTGTGGGGCTGCATTCCTAATAAGCTGCCCAGAGTATTCTGGTGCAGGTGAAACACGTTTTAAGAAACTTGCTTTACAGTCTTGAACCTGGTTAACTGGGAAAATCTATTAAAAGATAAGGAAATTGAGAAGGAGGGTCAAGACAATAAATTTTGAATTGTGGGACATCCAAATTGGTATGTTTTGAGGTTATTTAGAAATTTGGAGGTTCGATGTGGGAAAAACCAAATGGGAATCTGAAGTTCAGAGGTAATAGTTGGAACCCTAATAGTAGACAAATTGGCCAGGAAGCAAGATTAGATAAAGCATTGTAGATAAAGAATTGTAGATCTCTTCACTTCTACTCCAGCTAATTCAAATAGGTCCTTAGGAATGCTAGAAACAGAGACTGAGATTACACAAAACAGAGTTTTTCTCACTCTTGTAAAACTAACGTGGAGGCAGCCCGGGTCAGCTAGGCCCACTGCCTAGAGTCATAAGCAACATGGGCTCCTTATGCCTTT